AATGTTATAAAACTTTTTATCGGCTGTAAATTTTATCGCAGCCGAAACGTTTACAGTCGATAAATGTTCCGGAGGAGCGACCTACGGAAATTTTTGTAGAGATGAACAGTTGTAGAAACCTATGGTTTAGAACTTTTCAAAGTACTTACCTTGAGTTGAAAACTTAATACAAATTCTTTCATTTTAATTAAGTGCACATTTCTTGGTAAATTTTAATTTCAAGCGATTTCTTTGTTAAAATTTTAATACTGAATTTGTCATGTAAGAAATGTCATTTTCAAAATTTAAAACTGCTCTCATTAATGAGAGCAGTTTTAAATTTTGAAAATGACATTTCTTACATGACAAATTCAGTATTAAAATTTTAAAGCATTAACTACTTTTTAGAAAAACATTGCTTATAAATTTCATACTTTCATTCAACTTATTATTTATAAACTTAATTCTGAGCTTCTATTTATCTAATTTTTTTCTTTTCTGTTGTGATTTAATATTTTTTGCTAAACTTTTTAAATTTAACAAACAAAATATTAAAACACAACACTGTTATGTTTTAATATTTTTATATATAATTTAAAAGCAATATTTTTTTAAAAAATAGTGAATGTTATAAAGTATAAATAACCAGTTATTTATTATTTTAATCTTTCTTAAACTGAAGTATTTTCTCTTCACTATAGTTGTTAATATTATTATTACTATATTTTTATCATTATAAATATTATGATTCTTACTGTTATTAATATTGTCATAATTTTTTTTTATATCACTGTTTTTGTTATATTACTGTTGTTATTATTATTGTTGTTGTTATTTTTACTGTTATTTTTGTTATTATTATTATTAAAATAGTATAGTGTATACTTTTTATAATCTTTACTATTACTTTTAATTGCTGTTATTATAACTATTATTTTTATTTACTCCTACTTGCATTATAATTATTATTAATATTACTTCAATAATAATAAAATGATGCAAATAATATTAGCATCATTTTATTAGTATTAAATTTTACAGGTATTTATTTCATATTACTACTTATTACTA